TCTTTGAATGAGAGGAGTAGCTGTGAATTGTCGGCATAAGAAAAGAGTGAACAGTGGGACAATGTTTCATTCATGTCAGCAGTATACAGGATAAACAATAGAGGGTTCAACAAACAATGATGGGTACACCTAAATATTTTTCTGATTGCCCTACACTAACTACACACCAATGACTAGATTGGCATAAGCATGGTCGACCATAAGGAGATACTGGAAATGAGGAAGATAGGAAATAAAAAAATATTTTTAAAAGGTGTCACTCGGTGCTCGACAACTTGTCGCTTCTGGGTATGCTTGTTGTTAAGGATTTTAATTTTTTTTATTCTCCCCGTAACTATTTGGCTTACAACAATGCTACATCACACTAAATTATTCGCCTTTATTTAAGCTCTACAAATTAGTTTGGAAATAAATTGCTAAATTACAGGTTTTAAGAGTCAAAAATGGGAAAACCAAACATACACAGTAAAACCCCCCAAAAATCTTGTTCCCATAGTACGTACAATCATGCTTGTTAGCAAACCCATTGAAACAAACGCAGGTTTATGTACCAAATTTAATTGAAATCATATGATTTTTACTGGAGTTATCGTAATAACGGACACATATATTTTATATGTGTGTGTCAATTTGAATGGATGGTATTTTTGGCTTCATCAACACAAAAAAGTTAAGCGGTCCCAGGTCTTACCATGAGACCTACAGTAATAACTTATTCTCTATATGGGAAATTCACTAAAACATGGATTAGGAAAACAGGAAATATGGAGAGGACTTTGTTTTAACTCTAATGAGAACATTTGTTCTATTTATATCTTCTTTCTTTTTTTATCTGAATGTTTGGCAAAGGTTATACGAAGAAAAATCGATTCTGTTTGTGTTTTTATAACAAAGTTTTATTATTGTTACACGTGGATACTAATTAAATAGTTCCAAATTTGAGGCATAGTACAAAACATTACGAGCTAACTTACTCTGTACATTTATACATCCAAGCTTAAAAACTACTTTTAGGCTTTACCCTAAGAACCCCCATTACAGCTCGTGACACTCTAAGCTGGTACTTGGCCGATCGCTACTAGTATCTAGTTCAAAAACATATATCCCCTCATGCGGGTTGCATCAACTGTCCTCGCGACCCATATAAAGGTGCTAAAGTACGCAATACAAGGGGAGTCAACCCTGTGAGACAGCGGAAATGTTTGCAGTCCGGTTTTTCCTCTACATCCACCCTCCTCTCGCCTACACTGCCTGCGCTAGGCCAAGTGCTAGCTTAGATGTCACGATCTATACAGAGGTTTGTTCTAAACATCCACAATAAAAATTTCAGCTTATTATTTGTATGGCTGAATGAATACTATATAGTAATTAGTGGTCCAAACTCTATCAAGTAAAGATGAAGAAGATTCTGTATGTGAGTATTTTTTTATAACACAAACCAGCAAGTTACAGTAGCAGTACAATTACACATAGTGTCTTTGATTCTCTTATGATACAAAACGCAAGTAATAATAATTATACTTCTACATATAGCTTCTAAATTGTCCAATTTTTCTGCAAACAACTCATGACAGAACAATGTAGAAGCAAGTTTAAAATTTGTGACATTTTGTGCAAATGTTCTTCATGCCAAGTATCATTTGGCATGTTTTTGTCCTTGAATAAGTGATTACACTGTACAACTTAAACTAAAATGAAACGAAAATGCAATACATTGTCTAAAATCGCCTTTAGAGCAATATTTAATCAAATTTTGGAATAGTTATTTAATGTAATTTGTGAATACAACATTTATTTATCCATAAACCTGGTTCCTCTTGCTTTATTGAATTACTTCTCAGCAGTCATCTGTTATGTTTTGAATAGAAATTTAAAATTGAAATTTTTTACATTGGTTTTATACAAATATTTTGTAGGCAGGGTATTAAACAAAAATTATGATTTTAGTTTGTGAGCCTATTGTTTTTGTTCAAGTAATATTTTATCAGCCCACAAATTGTTAATTTTGTTTCAAAAGTAATGTAATGTTATTAAAAAAACAGGCAACTTTCAAGTTAAGTTAACAAGCTGCTTGGAGGAAAACAAAAGATTTCAATACTTTTTAATGTGACCCCTATTTGTGTTATGAAATTGGTAATTTTTCAAATTATGATTATTTTATGTATAGTATAAAAATTACAATTATTTGAAATAAATTAATGAACTAGCTTCTATTCCTCTTAATAGGAAAGCTTACATGGGTAGGATAAACAGAAAATTCTTTTATAAGGAAAACATTTGAGGAATTGAAACAAATTAGAAATTTATGCATTAATTATGATGAACTCATATTATTTATGTACGTGTAGATTAATTATTACGGACAGAGAACCTGAACAAGAAATCAAATCTAAAAATAACATATAATCATTATTAAAAATTTAAATATACATCCTTTAAACCCCAAAGTATAGGCGAGTTCTCCGTAAAAAAAAAATATTTGAATGATAAATGCAAAAAAAAAATCTGTACAGTAAATTTTTAAATTACTAGACAATTAAGTTCATTGTACTTTTTAGTATATGTACAGTATTCAAACATTATATAAAAATATGTATATGTAACTGGTTTAATTGAGCTTGAATAGTAATAAAAGTTATTGTCAAACAATCATACTAAATTAATTAACGGAACAGTCAGACATTTTAAATCTACAGGATAAATAAATTAAAATTATTAAATATGATTAAGTCATACTCGTGATACAATTTGCTATAAACAATAGCTGCTACAATATCTTATACTAGATATCAAATTAAATAAAAATACCCAACAAACTATGTAATACGTTCACCAAACATTATGAAAAAAAGTGTTGTGCAAGATTTATAATTTCTTCACATTGCCTCAAAGAGCAAACATGTGACAAAAAATGTATTATTAACTTATTTACTTTCTTATAGATTAGTATTCACAGTAGTGTGGATTAAATGTTTCTTGATGAATAGCTGAGGACTGTTTTAAAATATGTATGGTATGGTATGCTTTGGTGTTTCCTATTGTCACCAAATTTAAAAACATTTTTACAAAATAGACATGGTAAATTTGCTTTCTGATATTGAAACCACAGAGAAAAGTACTTGTGAAATATATCCTTTAATAAGAAATATAGATTTAATCATATTTAGTAAACAACCCGTTGATAGGATGATTTCTTCAAGCTTAGTAGATCAATTTTGGTTGAAATATTATATTTATTTTATAATAAATTATTTCAAACTATAAAAAAGGGAAAATTAACTGTAAATTTTAATTAAATTTAATAAATTAATTAAATGAGAAAAATTTCTTTTTGAAAATGTTCATTTATCATGGGAGAGATCAGACACTTGGTACTTTTGGGGAAACTAATACTTAATACGTAAACACATTAAGGTACCTTCATAATAACTTGTGGTAATAATTTTAACAAAATATTTATATTTTTTAAATTTAAATTAAGGTATGAGGGCTATCCAGAAAGTAACAGAATTGTTGAATACTAATATAGGTACGATACAAAAAGTGAAAAAAGACTTTCTTACGTTTTTAAGGTAAATTCTGTTTTAAATTAAGGTAATTATCAAAGCCTGGTACAATATTGTCAATGTCGTTTTCTTCCACCAGACAGTTTAACCACTAGTTTCCACCAGCGTTGAGTTTAGTCTAGAGTTGGTGCCGAATCCAGGCTGTTAGGCCCCGTTTATGCACCAAGAGCGGGAGCGGGGCGATAGCGGGCCCGCTCCCGCTGTGAATGGGGCTGTTTATGCACGAAGAGCGATAGCGGTAGCGGTTGGTTAAAGGAGAATGGAAGGGGGATACAGTCTTGCCAACTCAAACTCTGTCAAATAATTAACCCAACTATTTGTCCTAAGTGCACGTGAGCGTGGGTCAGGTTGGCAACCCTGGCTGCAGCCGCTCCCGCTCCCGCCGTGCATAAACAGTCCCATTTGACTCAATGTAGTTGAAAACCGCTCTATTCCAAGCAACCGCTGCGATTTCTAACTACACAGCGAGCGAATTAGAAACCACAGCGGGAGGTCAACCGCTATCGCTATCGCTCTTCGTGCATAAACAGCCCCATTTAACTCAATGGTGTTAGAAATCGCTCCCGCTGTCGCTACCGCTCCCGCTCTTGGTGCATAAACGGGGCCTAAGGAGGATGGTTGGATCTTACGTACAGTTTGCGGTATTCCGTTTGTAGACAATTGTAAAGAAAAATTAAAACTAGGCTTTCTTGTTTATATGCGTTCGACCCTATTCCCATGATTGTTATTACGTTTAAGCGTTACTCAAGTCACCAATTACTGCTAGATAATATGGTTTTTATGACAGTTTTTTGGCTCTTCCAGACATTTTAGAACTACAGCAAGTCTTTATTTCCCTTTAGGAATTTCAGAAATCATTCCGTAAAGAATTTTTAGTATCTACGTTTGCTCTGATTTCATGAACTTAACTCCAAAAGATTCAGAGAAAACTATTTGAGATTCATTAGTAGTGAAACAAAGATTTTCACAGATCGTTTTTACTACAAATTTATCAGACGTAAGAAAGACTAAGCCTACCACTTTACATTTATTATGAACAGTGATTCAGGCATTTTAAAAGCAATGCATTACCGCCTAACTCATTATTTCTTGGGTGTACATGTCGAAGTGAAAAGTCAGCGAAAAATGTAAATCACTTGATAGCTTTTTGAAAACAAAAACATAAAGCACTAGATAACATGTGCGAACTTCAATCTTAGAGGCAATTTTAAAACTCCACTATAGAAAAGGCACAAGTGGAAATGAATGGCAGCATTACCTCAGTCCAAACTGTGGTTACGTCGGTCGTTACTTTCTGGGCAGCCCTTTGAAATTATGATTATACAAAACTGAATATAATTTTAATTTTAAACAATCTGCTCAGCAAAAATAATACTTTTTATCCTAATACAATTATACCTATTCTAAATGAAACGTCAAACAAATATCAAAGTGCACTTGGCATAAATAAAAATTTTACATAAGGTGGCAGTTTTAAAGTAATATAAGAGAACAAGAAATCTGGCCTGTGTCAATCAAACTGGGCACACGCAGTAGAAAGTGTTTTACAGCAAGTACCACCGTAGAGTTTTATTCAAAGTAAAACCTCAGTACGTCATTTGTAAATATAAGGTATAAAGCACACAGCAATTATATTTCTGTGATCATCTATAACAAAAACAAAGTAATATGTATTCCTTCATGAAAAAAATGTATACAAAAGAAATATTTATGTATATATATATATATAATTTAATAAGTATAAATAAATAGCATAAATTGAATTATTTCCACTTAAGTATCATTACTTTATTTCATAATAATGACATAGACTTCACAATAAACCTATTTATTTAATCTAATAACTATATGGCTTCAGATCAGCACAGCTGATAATGTCTGATCTAATAATTTAGCCAACTAATAAATCAGTATTCTCAACACCCCCATAGATAATCATAAAATCATCTCTAAAGAATGAAAATAAAATAAATTAACAATATACAAAACAAAATTAACTTTGTTTTCTAAAAATGTGATGAAAATACATGTCAGTAAGGGAGGGCTCCATTTATCAGGTAACTTTATAACCATGAACATGTTAATTTGGACTTTTAATTTTCAGTCAGGCATTTCTATTGAGATTACTGGTACAACTGGTTTGTTCATCTCACTCTTCTTATGACCTTTCTCCTTCATAGGCTGAGAACTGGCTTCGTTTTGTTCACCATTCTCTGAGGTACGACCCGACGAATAAGCAATGTTGGCGTACTCTTGAAGGAATGGACAGATACTAAGTAAGAACTGTGAAAAATCCTTCCTTATACCAAACCACCCTAGAACAAACAATTGATTATAAACACCACAATTGAGCAAAATGAATCAATTAATCAATATTGATGTTACTCTCATGTATAATCAATATTACTTATACATTAATCAAACCTGGGATGAGTTTGGGGTTTGATTTTAAAACACATTTTTGCAGTGCTATTTTTATCAAATAAAATTAATTTTAAATAGGCCTAAATGTCCAACAATTTATTAAGAATTATCATTTTTAAGGATTGACTTTTAAACATATGTTCTCTAGAGTGCACTAAACAGTCAGAAAAATATTGAATGTAAAAAATAAAACAAAAATGTTTAGCCCTTTTGCAGAGCTAATCTGTAAACAAATATAAAGTAATGATCATTAGGCATAATAACATTACTCGCAACATGAAATTGTTAAAAACATGTTTAAATACTGATAATTTTCATAAACTCATCCACTAAACATGCACTCTCTTCTACATCCATTTCTAATGCAAACCACCCTACCGAATAATATTACGAATAGTGTTTTTTCTAGTTCAATTAATATTTAAGTAATTAACAGATTCACTGTGTTTGAGTAAAGGCAAGACACGTCAAGGATGCAGGACCAATTTTCTGAACGTCCATGAGTTTTGAAAAATCTTAAAATTCTGTTTTAACCAACGGAAGAGCAATGTATAGCAATGAATTGTGATTCAGCGTTTATGCTTGTAATACTACAAGAACATAACAGGTAGTAGCACTGAACAGTCTTTAAAAGGTCACAAGTACAGCAAAATGCAGGAGACAAGCTGGGACAACAGGCCCAGGTGTATAATCTTAAAACGGTGTGGATCCTAAACAAACTGCACATAATACAGAGTTATGCATGTTGACACCCAGAAGTGAGTTCCTACATGTACCGCAAACAACATGTAAACATTATGATTAAAGAGAAGATTAAAACGATGAAACCTTTAGCTATGGATGTGATGTCATGTACAATACCAACTGTAATCAATATACAGGGTGACAATTAAGTCTTATGACGACTTTTTAACTTTAAAACAAAAAGAGATATCACAACCAAATTTGGTATACAATTACTGGTAATAGTAAGCTACTTTTTTGTGTACATGGGGATCAAATGTCATTTATGAGAGACGAGGGAGTAAGTTGAAAATCTTAAAGGTAAACATAGGTTGATAATGATGATATAAACAACAAATTAAAGGTCTTTTTGAACTAGAAATAATGCCGCAAAACCGGACCTCAGATGGACAATCAGGTCAAAGATGGCAGTTGTTCAAAGATTTCTTCAATCTGCGAAGATTTCTTCTTGAATCTTTAAACGGCTGCCATTTTTTACTCAGTTGTTCTTTTGAGCTCAAATTTGTGGCATTGTTTTCTATTAATAAAGACCTTTAATTTGATGTGCATACAGATCGTTTCACGGTGTGTGGGGCTTCACTGGAGCATGCACGCTGAGCGCTTTCTCCCACTATGCCTCGCGGTACAGTCAAGTTCAAATATAGTTTTCCAACTACCGCTAGCTGCCATGTATGTTAGTGTTCCTGTACAGCTACAAAGTACAGCAGTGTGTGTTTTAGAGACGACTGTACTTGACGGCTGGAGGGGAAGCGTGGTGGGAGACTCTCTCGCACTTCCTCTCCTGCACACCACACACGGTGAAACTGTCTGTATCAACCTATGCTTACGTTTGAGATTTTCTTTCTTCTTCTAGCGGGCGCCCCTTTAAGGAGGAAGCGTATAATAGCATTGCAAATTCAATGAATCTCTGAACAGCAGTCAATTTTACTCGATTCTCCATTTGAGGTCTGGTTTGTGGCATTGTTTTTAGTTCAACAATTCCTTTAATTTGATGTACATATCAACCTATGCTTACCTTTAAGATTTTCAACTTACTCCATATGGGCCATCCTCTATAGGTGATATCCAAACACTATAGTACACCATTGTACACAGAAAAGTAGTTTACTATTAACAGGAAAGATTCAAAAAAAAGTGTTGTGATATCTCTTTTTGTTTTAAAATTATAAAGTCGTCCTAAGGCTTAATTTACCCCCTGTATAAAAGGAGTTCCAGAAAGCAGTTGCTATTTTGGAATTAAACCAGACAAACTTGCTACATAAACACACTACAAACTTGAACTGCAACAAACATGTAAAAAAGACACACCCAAGTCCCAATTGATTCCAACAAATCAGAATAAAATAATGTAAGATCCAAATGATGTGTTATCGACTATCGTTCATGTCATTTTGTTTTAAAAATTGATTCTTGATTTTTTTACAATCTTACTTAAGTAAATAGAATTGAAGTAGTTAAAAAGAAAAGTTAGTGGTAAATCACAAATTAAATTTATTTGATTTATAACTGTTCATTCAATGCTACGTCCAAAAATCACTATGCACTTTTTTAATCACGCTAGCAACCTCTTTTTCCTAGGTAATTTTAATATTTATATTATATTATTTTGTTTCTCTACCATTTCGTTCTGATTAATCAGTATCAAATGAGACTCAATGGTATTTATCTTACATATATTTATTACAACTGCAGGGTTTGAAGATTGTAGCATGGTTGATGCGTCTGTTATATTAATTCAAGAAAAGTAACCTCTTTATGAGACACTGTATGTTGGATTAATTCTTTAGCTGTTCATTCCAACAATTTCCAAATCAACAACTTACATTTATTGCCACCTTTAGCACTGAACGACATGAGTATCAGTGTAGTGAAAGATACAAATAAAGGTGTAACAATCCCTGTGTATGTCATGTTGATGTCTCCATCCAATTTGTTGGTCAGAAGCACCTGTGTGAAAAACATATTTTACTAGACGTGCAATAGTAGTTTACGCAACGATTGTGTAAAGACTATTAACGCAAGTTGCGTACACTACTTTACCTACGACCGTTTTTTAATTACTAACAATCAGGTTTTTAATTACTAACAATCACTACTCATAACTTCTTAGAGAGGTTATGTTTTCATTTAATGTCATTGCCACTGAAAGTGATGCAGAGACTTATTGTATAATCAGCTGATTTCATGTAATTTTAGGTTTGGAAAACTTTGTTAAATAATATGTTACTTTTTTCAGGGAATAGGTTCTGCTAGCAGCATTCTTACAATAAATACTGTATCAGGTACAATTAGGGAAATATTGCATATTTTTTTGGACAACTGAATAATATAGTGAAACAGTTAATTTACAGTTAGATTTCAGCATGGAATATGTGGTCCACAACGAGTTGGGTGAAAAAGTGGTTAAGAGGTTTTTTAAATAAACCAGAAGCACATTTTCATTTATCAATTTAACCTTATTTTGTTTTGTACATTTAATGAATTGCTGGTATGTAATTTCATACCTTTGTTTCGATTTTGGTGGCAAAAGATTAGCACAAACAGTTTGTGCTCTCATTTCCATCTTGTCAACTTCACTTTCACTAACTGACATTTTTAAATCAGTTTAATCTACCTTCCTTTAACTTCCACCAACTAAGGTTAAGAATACCTGAGTATCAGCAGGAACAAGTTATAATGAATCAAACTTGTAAAACTAATTTTAAGCTGTTTGAGAAGTTTGGTTGGGTCACGTTAGGTTAGAACAGTGTCAATTTGTTGTTTATTCATTTTATGAAAACTGCCACTACACTATAATCATAATGGGACATAACGGTTACATTCCTAACGGTCAAAACCTAAGCTAAGTCACTCGTTGAAGTGAAGAGAAGAATTAAATTAATTCTTTCTTCATTTTTCATAATCCAGTCCAGATTAAATATATCCGACCTAGAGGTGTTTAATCCTGATTACATTTTAATCCATAATTTAATAATTTAATTTTAATAAATTTTAATATTTGAATGTTGCTTTGTATCAATTAAAAACGGGAAAGATTAAATTGCACTGATGGGGATCTACAGATTACCTGCAGCTAGTGATAAGGTGTTTTTGGAAAAACTCAATAATGCTCAACAAATTATTACTGGAATCTGTCCTCACATAATTGTAGCAGGAGATTTTAACATTAATGTCTTAAAGGATGCTTAAGATTAGTTAATGAGAAATGAATTTGTTAATTAACTCAAAAGATTTGGTTGCAAATATCATGTTAATTTTCCCACTAGAGTTACTGGAGTCAACAGCTACAGCAATTGATAATTTTGTTTCCAATAATGACAAAGGTAAAATTCATGTTGAAGGAATTATTACAAATCTCTCAGATCATGATGCCCAATTGTCTCATTTAAACAAAGCCGATCACAGTAATGTTCAAAAAATTACAATAAGTAAAAGAGCATGCACAGATGAAAATATGGCTTTATTTAAAAATCATTTGTGCTTCTAAATTGGTATTCTGTGTACGCAGCTCCAGTTGAGTTAAAATATGGCTGTTTTTCCAATCTTTTTACATTTTATTTTAATATATCATTTCCAAAAAACTGAAACTAGAAAGTATAAGGCTAGAAACATGTGGATATGTTATTTGCTAAAAGAAGAAAAGAAAGAAATATCAGCTGGCGCTAACTAATAGATCAGACAAAAATAAAATGGTAGAATAATTAAACAAAAAAACATAACCTACCATAAAAATGACATTAATAACAAAAGAAATTACTACAAGCAGAAAATCCTGAGATCGCAAAATATTAGTGAAGATGTTTGGCAAATAATTCATCAGGAAACCGGCTCATATAAGTTGAATACAAAAAACATTCATTTAGAAAAAAATAATACCACTGTAACTGACCCTTTACATGTAGCAAATACTTTTTAATGATTATTTCATTAATATTACAAAGGAATCGTTAACTGGCAATAGTTTTGGTTCTGCCAATGAAATTTGTAGTCAAGTAGATAGGACTAATATCAAAAATTCTTTCCATTTAACACCAGTTAAATGGATAACCATAATGGTTAAAATCATAGATTTTATCTATGATTTTTAGCAGCAGGCATGAATGAGTCTCTGGCGCTGGTGTGGCTGGTTGTTGGCGGCTTGTGTGAATGGACTTTTTGGGTTTAAATTTAATTTCAACATGTTTATAATATGGTACCTTAGATTATTTAATTTTATTTATAAAGTGGATAGTTTATTTATGTTTTAGAGGTTAAGTGGTAGAGAGGACTTGCTAGTCCTAACTTCGCCTCTTAAATAAAGACATTTTTCATTTCATTTCATTTCAGTTGATGAAAAAGAAATAGGGTACTAACCATTATTCAAAATCTAAAAAAACCTGCTAGAGGTTATGATAAAATGTCTATTAAAGTGATTAAACATGTTGATAAAGCTATTGTTAAGGTCTTAGTTCACTTAATAAACTCAACTTTTGTGTCAGGTATATTTCCATCAAAACTTAAAATTGAAAAAGTTATTCCTATACACAAAAAAGATTGTCTAAAAATCCATCAAATTACAGGCCACTGTCAATTTTACCCATAATTTAAAAAATTTACGAAAAATCTGTCCATACTAGATTAATGTACTTCCTCAAATGTAACCGCTTAATTAATGGCAACCAACATGGATTTAGGACTGGAAAGTGGAAAGTCTAACAAAACAGCAACTGTACAATTTATTGAGTCCATTATTGATACCATTGATAGGGGTGAAAAATGTATTGGACTATTTATGGACCTACAAAAGGCATTTGATAGAGTCTGTCAAGGTACCGTGGTTAAAATTTTGACACAGTTTGGTATTAAAGGCAAAGCACCAGGGCCGGATTTCCCAATAGGCCCGGGCCTATGGGCGCAAGGTCCCAGAGGGCGCACGTCCGAGAGTAATTTTTTTTCATACCTAGGCTATCTAAAAATGAAAATAAATAGTCTCAGTCGATAAAAAAACTCCAACAAAGCATTGTGATTCTGAAGTTCATAAGAAGAAATAATTGTTAGGAAATTTAAACTATTTTTCAGAATTACGCATCAATTTCGTTACAAAATTGGTAACAAACATTGGTTATACAGGAGTAGGCTGTAGGGATGTTGACGTTGACTAGCGCCCAAGGGGTACGTATTGCCACTGCACTGCCACTAGCTGGCTCGGGCTCGGCATTACTGATCAGAGTGATTAGGGGCGCATGTGTGCTAGACATTGTTACCACCCTCACCTCACAAAACAAAAGTTATTATTAACTAATCTTTTGATTACCTAGTTAAAATCAGCAGGACCAAGTTAAAAAATATAATAAGTTGTGTTGAATAAAACAATGATGAATTTACCTTTAAAATTAACAAAAAAATATTGACCTCAGTTTGTATTAGATTTTAGAAAAATCAATAGCCTCCAAAGCACTGGCGGAAAACAAACAAAAATAAATTCAAAAACACAGTGCATAAAATTTGGAGTCCCACAGGGGGTAATTAGGCCTTTTATTATTCATTATCTACATAAATGGAATGAATGATATATTGGGTGATCAGAATGCCAACAAAGTAGTTTTGTATGCTGATGATTCGCAGCATACCTGCAGACTAAGCGAATTTCCATTCCCCTAATTGGATTTACACTAAAATATCTCATTTATTCCCTATTTTAATAGCATTGGTCTAACGTGTACTCTAGGTTTGCTGCAACAGGGAGGATAAAAAGTTTTTTAGTAAAATGTTGATAGTTTAGTATGAAATCTATGCATTTTCCAAATGTGATCAAAATATGCTCATAAACAAGCAAACAACAACAGTTTACTTATTCTCCATTAAGAATAACATTAGAATTTTAAATTTACATTTATTTTTTATTTTTTCCGTAACCATTAGGCACATAACTATGCTTCAATACACTAAATTATTTGTTTTTTAAGCTCTAAAAAATGGTTTGGAAAGAAATTGCTAATTTTAGCGAATTTCCCATATAGGGAATAAGCTATTACCGTAGTACTCACGGTAAGACCTGGACCCGGGAGCGATTTTTTTTTTTTTGTTTTGAGGTCCCTAGAGGTCAAAAACACCATCCGTTCAAATTCATATATATATATATATATATATATATTTATATATATATTTATATATATATATATATGTGTCCGTTAGCGCGATAACTCGAGCAAAAATGATCCGATTTTGATGAAATTTGGTACAAACGTGTAAACCTACGTTTATTCGAACGAGTTCGCGAACCAGCATGATCGGACCATGGGAACGGGGGTTTATGGGGGCTTTTAGGGGGTAAAAATGGGTTTTTCCCATTTTTGACCCAAAAATCATAAAATTTTGCAATTTCTTTCGAAACTATTTTGTAGAGCTTAAAAAAACAAATAATTTAGTATATTGAAGCGTTATAATGGGCCTAATGGTTACGGAGAAAATTCCAAAAAATTGTAAATTTAAAATTCCCATGTTATTCTTATGGAGAATAAGTAAATTGTTGTAGTTTGCTTTTTTATAAACATATTTTGCTCAAATTTGGAAAATGTTTTTATTTCTTACTAACTATTACCATTTTACATAAAATACATAAAAAAACACTTTAACCCTCCCTGTTGCAGCAAACCTAAGTATGTTTTAAACTGATTCTATTTAAATAGGGAATAAATGTGATATTTTTAAGGAGACATTTTAGTGTAAATCCATTCAGGGAAATGGAAATTCGCTTAGTCTGCAGGTTTGCTGCGGCGGGGGTATTTATGTTTTTAGGGTAAAAATTAGAAAAACCAATTTTTACCTCATAAAACCCCGTTCCCATGGTCCTATCATGCTGGTTCGCGAACTCGTTCCAATACATGTAGGTTTACACGTTTGTACCAAATTTTATCAAAATCGGATAATTTTTGCTCGAGTTACTAACGGACACACATATATGTTTATATGAATTTAAACGGTTGGTGTTTTTTGCCTCTAGGGACCTCAAAACCAAAAAATACTTGGTCCTGGGTCCAGGTCTTACCATGAGTACTATGGCAATAGCTTATTCCCTATATGGGAAATTCGCTAAAAGAGCCAAAGGACCAATGAGCGGAAACACAGCCATAGGCTGTAAGAGATTGTTACAAAGATTCTGGTACCATTCAAAATTCCCAAACAATTCACAGACTTTTTCCCGAGTCATCAAAATTCACATACAGTTTTTCTGTTTTACCAGTCGACTTACCTATAACTAAAAATATTAAAAAAATATATACTAAAACTCACCTGAAAGACTAAAATAGGTACCACAAGGAATGTGTAAGCTAGGGCTGAATTGAACCATGATCGTCTCTGATTAGCATTGACTTGTGGTGTTCTTAACAATATACCAGCAAAGATAATTGTATATAACACCCCAACAAGGCTTAAACAGAGGACAATCCACAATGGTACAAAAACAACCTCCCAGCTCCACGATGTGAACCCATCAAGACGAAGAGAGAGGAATATGAACTGAAGCATATTGACAGCGCAGAACAGTTCCAGCTGGAAAACAACATTTTGATTAGCCTACATCTTTTAAATTGTCTTTAATGAGAGTAATAAAATATAGTTATCATTGATTTACAGTTTTTCCATGTGTCTATACAACAACATAGGAGGAAACTGCACAACTACAAGACTGACCATAGTAAAAATATTATATAAGTAACTCAAAATTTATAATCACCAGATAATCCTTACCCCAAATAAAATTTCTTACACATTATTTATGTATATCATTACTAGTAAACTCAAAGTCGCCAACCTTTTAAAAAAAGAAAATAAGCCAAACATACTAGTACATACCAGTATGAGACCATACCAGTACAAGACATACCAGTGCAACCAACATACCAGTACGAGACCAGCATCTAGCATTGTCTTACCCCAACATTACATTCACTACTTTGCCCATGTGACTTGTAATGTCCACTTCACTATTTTAATTTGGATTACCTCACCAATCAGTAGTTGAGAATTTTAATTTAAAAAAGATATGAGTGATTTTACAAAAGTGCGTTCAGAAGGAAAGATTATGAATCAAGGGCAACTATTGTCTAAAATGTTTTTGGTTGATACTCAATATAGAATAACAGTTAAAAGCCATCAATTCGTTTTTAATATACCACAACTTGTAATTTTAGAAGCTTGTCAACAAATTACATCTTAAAAGTGCCCAACAAAATTATTATTAGAAGTCACAATGTATAATTATGTTAACCAACATGTATAATTCACGTAACCAACATCAATATATTCAAATATTGTAGGAATTTCCTTTTAAAGTTAGTAGGCCTACTTGTAACTATTTAGCACAGGAAAATATCACTAAACATTAATACTGACCTCAAACGACCTGTCATGTTTGACAGCCCAGATACAAACAGCAATGGACACAATGGAGATAAATATTAGAGGGATGAAGACAAGGATCCAAAGATGGCGTCCTGTCTGTAGTTTATCACAAACTAGTAGTTCAAACATGAGCAATATAAGGTGAAGTGCGAGACTTATCAGCATCGCCTTGTAATGTACATAAGCTTCACCTTCCAGCCTGAAACAACAAGATAGCCTAGTAAAATGTGGCGTTGAACAAATCTCAAGATGGTTCGGTTCGACATATATTTACTTCTAGCCATCTTGAGTTAAGGCTAAATTAGGTATAGCATTCTTTTCATCTTTTCAAAACAGTTCATTGTTAGTTAACAATGGCAAGAGAATAGACTGTCCCCTTTAAAATATTTTTAAAATGCCAAGCTATTGTAAAAATCAAGAGTCAACAAAAAACATTTTGAACTTGTTAGAAAGTAGGAGTTTCTTACACCTAAAAGTACAGAAAAACATACCTAAAATGAGGATACCTCCACCACACATAGCTTCCAACAGTGGCCCCAGATATGACCATGAACTTCCAGAACCAAATGGGTGAAAACACAGTCCAAAAGCTCCAATCAATTGTGCCATCGAGTCTAAGAGCGAATAGAGCAGTGAAGACCAGAAGGGATGAATGCACAATGAACTTGCTGAAACAATCAAACAAAACATAAAACCATGAACATTCTTTGAAATTAATCTAGACATTTAAGAAGGTTATAGGAATTAACGGTTCCTTAATAAACTACTAGTTGTATCAGACTTTTTTTGAGTAACAGGTTTGACTCAAAAACTCACACGTCTTTGAAGGTTTTGAACTGCTTTCCTTAAAGATAGGGTTGGGGAAGAACAGCTTGCATAAACAAGAGTAAAAAAGAGTTAACATGGCTGAACAGAAACTTAAAATGGTATAAAATTAACTGATTACGCCTGTGATCCTAAATTTGTTGTAGTGAGCAACCGGTTTCAAGGTTATAACCTCATCATCAGGCTCTTGTTGTCACTCTTGCAAGATCGTAGAGTTTTAAGAACACTCAAAACATTTATATAAATATAACACAAAACATACTGGCAGACAATTAACATAAATTCGGGAACTAGTTCCACACACGACGCGGCAGGGGCAGACGTTTTGTTATGACTGGGATTGTGGCTGACCTTGCTGCCCCCTGCTCAACGATCTCCCCCGCACAAATAAATGGCATCATAAATGAAATTGAGACTATAATCATTAAGAAAATTCAAAATAAAAGAAAACCCAGAAACAAAAAATTGATTTCCTATTTAAAACCCAGATACAAGAGGTGAGGAAATAGATTGTGGGCATAAATTCTTTCCAAGAGTCATAAACTAATAGGCTAAACTATACAAACATTATACAGGGTGTCCCGGAACTCTCTACCAATATTTTAGGGCATTGTTCCTGGGTAAGAAACATATCTAAATATCATATTTAAATTGTCCGGAAGTCCTTAGTTACTCAAATAGCCGCCATTTGTTTTTTTCACTTATTAATTTTTTTTCTGAAAATTGGTTAAACATACGAAGTTTAAACTTTGCACAAACATTTATGACAACTAGACAAAAGTACAAAAAAATTATGACGATTTTTCAAATTCATAAAACAAAATGGCGGCTGTTTAAAATTTTGTTTCTTAAATTACTTGAAAACCGTTGATTTTACAAAGATTTTACAAGAATAACTTTTTAAGGCGATTTTATTACAAATCGATCGACACCTTAATCTTTAAGATCGGACGAGTATTAACTGAGTTATGGCAGTTTTAGTGATACGTGACCGCTTTCAGCATGCGCTGCAACTAATATCCGGCGGTCACGTATCACTAAAACTGCCATATCTCAGTTAATACTCGTTCGATCTTAAAGATTAAGGTGTCGATCGATTTGTTATAAAATTGCCTTAAAAAAGTTATTCTTGTAAAAGTTTTGTAAAATCAACGGTTTTCGAGTAATTTAAGAAACAAAATTTTAAACAGCCGCCATTTTGTTTTATGAATTTGAAAAATCGTCATAATTTTTTTGTAGCTTTGTCTAGTTGTCATAAATGTTTGTGCAAAGTTTCAACTTTGTATGTTTAACCAATTTTCAGAAATAAATTAATAAGTGAAAAAAACAAAATGGCGGCTATCTGAGTAACTAAGGACTTCCGGACAATTTAAATATGATATTTAGATATGTTTCTTACCCAGGAACAATGCCCTAAAATATTGGTAGAGAGTTCCGGGACACCCTGTATTTGATGAGGTTGAGACTCAACTGCTTAACAAAGGACTCGATTACCATTACCCTAAAACGAACACAAAAAGCCTTTTAAGCTAAATATTCCAATCGGAATCTGTAATAAACACTCTAAAGTCTGAGCAAAATCAAAACATTTGTGAAGCAAAATTCTAGGGGGGGAATAAACTGGTATTCACCAAAGTCAGGCTAGGCCTACCTCCAGAACCGGCCACACTCAAATTTCTTCACCGGAGTGCTCAGAAGGAGCCGAGAAAAATCCAGGAGTCGATACGAAATTTTCACGGCTTTGACTGATCAATTTACCTATTTAAATTTAATCGAAGGCTCAGAGCTCTAGAAGCGCTCAGGAAATCCTTGCAGACGCCCAGTTGGAACTATATCATCCCAGCCTTCGCTAACGTGTTGTGGAGAATTTCGCCTAGCTTTTAGAATGACTCTGTAGGGCCAACGAGTATTCAATCTTAAGCCAATGTGATTTAAATACTCGTAATAAACTGTAAACTATCTGGCTAAAGACGGTAGTAGATAATAAAATCAAATCTAATGTAAAAAGCAATTCCTACAGAGTCGTCGGGCCTAATTAATATAATCGAATGGAGAATTTATCGTGGGATGATTTAAAATAGATTTAATATTAATATTCGTAGCTGTTTGATTGTTCAAATCAGCTGCTCCCAAGACTTGATTCTTTCACCAGCCAAAGAAGGGGTTTGGAACTTAGACGACAAGTCTCGGGGTATTAAAACGGTGAAAACTAGATAGAATTTAGACGTGATAATTATTTGTTAAGTGAACGGAGAAATCGTAATTTCGAAACTAATTAATTAAAATTAAATAAACGATAGCCACCGCTAGTCACTGGCAGGCAGGAACTGGCGGGTCAAGACTCAAGTTAAGTTATTAAATTTAGACAATTCGAATCGGGACTTTAATAAAGCGAATATGAATAATAGATTAAGAATTGCGTGAAATGAAAATAACGTAAAACGTGAAAAGGGCCTAACTAGTACGCTAGCTAACCTTTGTAAATGCAACAGTAAATATGTTTTGAAATACAGACACGACAACAACAAGTTGCTACAAGCATTAGAAATAAACTCAGGAACAATGACGCCCTGATAACAAAGGCTGACAAGGGGAACTCTAGGCTATAGTCATTATGCACAGGCAAGATTACCTTAGTAAAGTACAACATTTCATAGCGTTGAAGAACATTGAAAAGCTACCTAAAGATCCGACAGCTTCTTTTTCCAAAGATATAAATAAGGCTATTAGTAATAGTAATCATCTCCTATCACCAGTTGAAATAAAGAATTGTAAATCACCAATCCAAAGGCACTGCTACTAAGAGGATTACCGAAAGTACATAACGACAACGTTCCAATTCGTTCTCTGGTAAATTTCATCCCCTCCCCTGATTATAATATCGCTACAACTAATTATAATAAGGTAAAACTAAAAAAAAAATGGTATATGACCGAGTAGTTAACGTTTTTAGAAAACGCTTAAATTTATTGTTATTGTTAAATCATAGTATAATACAAGTGTCTTTTGTTGTTTTCAGTTGCTGTTATTCTTTATATTTAATTCTTTACAGAATTTTACTTATATATATACCTATATATATATATACCTATATATATATATATATCTTTTATCAATGTTAAAAATATAGGTAGGGCCTAGTTCCTGTTTTAACGTATGTTATAAAGTTTGTTTCAGCTGTTATTATTCCTTGTTATTTATTTGTTGACTGTTTGTAATCTGAAAGTATATACTCATGTTAAATAATTTTTAAGAAGATTCCTTGCATATTTACACTTGATCTAATTTTTAAATTATTTTATTTTTCTACAGTTTTTTTTTTGCCCCTACAAAATTTTAATTGTTTGTAATCATGTAAAATGGTTATAAGCCAAATTTGTTACTGTTTAAGAAGTAGGAAATATATTTTTGTACAGTTAATAGTTCACACTGACTCAAGATCAAGATAAAGATGGAAAAGACTAGAGAAACGCTGTGGACAAGCCTTTTTTAAGGCTTATGCAGTTTTGTATGTTAAATTCATTGTATATGTGCTGTACCAAGTAATAAATAAATAAATAATAAACAAATTCTAAAATTGTGTGATCAAATGTTTACATCTAGGCTAGGTAGCTAACTTACCTATAACTAGTGGATTAAAATGGCCATGCTACAGGTTGTGCATACATGTTACCGTAACTTTGACTTACAAAATAAAATTTACAAAATCAAGATAGGGAGTCTATCAAACCTAACTTAATTTAAAATACTCCTTAAAAACCCCCTAAGGGAGGGGGAGTTAACAAGGGGGAAACCCCATGTTCTATTTTTATTTTGATAGCTTAAAACTAATTGCAAGAACTAAATTGTTTCATTTCATACATTGGGGAAATAAAGATTTTTTTTTTTTTTTTTTGGAGTTCCCCTTAAGATATATACTAGGCCTTTGGTGCACAGGTGTTAATTCCACGGCTGGATTTCCCAATAGGCCCGGGCCTATGCGCTCGAGCTCCCATAGGGTGCATGGCCGAGAGGAAATTTTTCTTTAATATCTAAAAATAAATAGTCATTGTTCATAAAAACTTTGGGTAGTAAAGCATTCTGATTCTAAAGTTCATAGGTAGAAATAATTGTTAGAAAATGTAAACTATACATTCGTAACGAACATTGGTTATACGGGAGTAGGCTGTAGGGATGTTGACGAGCGCCCGATCGGTACGCATCGTATTGCCACTGCACTGCCACTATGCTGGCCTGTTGCTACTGATCGAAGGGGTTAGGGGCGCATGCATGCTAGACACTGTTACCACCCTCACCTCACAAAACAAAAGTTTTTAACTAATCTTTTTATTAGTTTACAACAATCTGCAGGATCAAGTTAAAATATATAAATCTCAGTTTGCAATAGGTTTTAGAAAAATTAAATACCCTCCAAAGCATCATTAATGCTGTCATTTTCTCCTCAGGCCTAAGGGTCGGTATGGTTGGCCAGAATATTGCTCTGTTTTCCTTTGGAAATATAACCTAGTATCACCATAGATTAAATAGAACTCAAGTCAACTTCTTATCACATTGTTGTTATCACTGGACTTTAGTTTTGACTTGCTTTTAGCGAATTTCCCATATAGGGAATAAGCTATTACCGACTACCGTAGTACTCATGGTAAGACCTGGAAGCGGGAACGATTTTTTTTTTTCGTTTTGAGGTCCCTAGAGGCCAAAAACACCATCCGTTCAAATTCATATATATATATTTATATATATGTCCGTTAGCGCGATAACTCGAGCAAAAATGATCTGATTTAGATGAAATTTGGTACAAACATGTAAACCTACATTTATTCGAACGAGTTTGCGATCCAGCATAATCGGACCATGGGAACAGGGGTTTATGGGGGGTTTTATGGGGTAAAAATGGGGTTTTCCCATTTTTGACCCTAAAAACATAAAATTTTAGAATTTCTTTCCCAACCATTTTGTAGAGCTTAAAAAAAGAAATAATTTAGTATATTGAAGCATTGTTGTATGGAGAAAATTCAAAAAAATGCAAATTTAAAATTCCCATGTTAGCCTATTCTTATGGAGAAAATTAAAACTGTTGTAGTTTACGGTACTTGTTTATGGATATATGTTGATCAAATTTGGCAAACTTATTTATTTCATCCTATACTATTGTTGTTTGGTCAAAAACACTGTTTACCTTCCCCGTAGCAGCAAATTATATCAGCAAGTTATATCTAATGTTATTTAAATTGGGAATAAATTTGTCTTATTTATGGAAGTATTTTAGTAAATATGTAATCAGACAAGTCGAAATTCGCTTAGTCTGCAGGTTTGCTGCGGCGGGGGTATTATTTCTATTATTATAGGGTTAGGCTAGATCTATGATATGTGTTTTAACCCTAGCAGTGGCCAATGTTAGAAGTGGGGAATGGCCAACCCATTTTGGCGATTTTGCAGACCATTTTTTGAAAATTCGTAAAAATTCAACCGTACAAGTAAACCTAGCCAACCTCATATTCATTTTGTTCGGAAAGAACAGGAGAATCTAGAAATAGTAATATCATAATGATTTAGACAGTGTATTTTATCGGTTAAGTGAAAAAAATAAAAAAATTTGAATTTTTTTTTTGAAATTTCAAAAGCGGCCTCTGCATTTTTTTTCTACAGATTTTTTTATGGGAAATTCATTATATACATTTTGTAGACAATCTAATTCCCTACATAGAAATATATAACATGTAAGGAAAATATTTTTTTTTATAAGTTTTTGGGGCGAAATATAATGACAAACGGAGAACCGAAAAAATTGAAAACCGTACAGTGTTAGTTTATGTTGTAAAAAGTTCTATAATATATGTGTATACTAATAATGATATATACATGTTTGTAAAGCTAATGAAGTAAGGAATCAAAAAAAGTCATAAAGTTTATGGTAAAAATAATTTTTTACCTATAAACATACGTATATAAAATAATGTTTTTATATTTTAGCGATTTCTCGAGAAAAAAAATTCACTGTACTTAGTATACAACTTTTGTACCAAATTTTTTTACTTCAAACCAACATAATAATCTTGTAGTATATTCAATTACCTACATAAAAATGTATAACATGTTAGAAATATTTTTTTTGTAGGTACGTAATAGGGACATAATAATACAATAACCGCAAAACCGCAAATAAGTGTAAACTATAGCCTACAGTGTTTGCTTGTGTTGTGAAACATTATGTAGGCTGATGATATGTAGCCTACATATTTGTAAAGCCAATGAAGTAAGGAATCCAAAAAAGTCATAAGTATGATGGTAAAAAGTTATTTTCACCTATGATTATGTATCAATTTGAGAACGTTTTGAATTTTTTGCGCATTTCGAGAAAATGGAGTATACAGTATTTAGTAGCCTATATAATTTTTTACCAAATTTTTTACACCCAAACCAATATAAACATGTTGTAGTGTATTCATTTACCTTTATAAAAATGTATAACACCTTGGGTAAATCATTATAAGCACCTCTGAATGTCAGAATTTTCATTTTTGGACATGATGCTAACAAAATACAGTAATAGGCCTATTTAGTATAGGCTATAACTTTTTTACAAAATTTTTTACCCCCAAACCATTATAAACATGTTGTAGTGTAGGCCTATTCATTTACCTTTATAAAAATGTATAACACCTTGGGTATATCATTATATAGGTACAACAATCTCTGAATGTCAGAATCGTCATTTTAGGACATGATGCTAACAAAATACAACCTTTTATGAACACTATTCCACACAATTCAGTAATATTTATGCATGAAGATAACTGTTATACACACACACAACACTTCACTTACACTAACACTACGAAATAATAACATATTTCGTAATAAATCGCGGATAAAACTATTGCAAAAACACAAACAAACAATGGCAATACAAGACAGCTGATAGACTGTAGCAGTAATGACTCACTTCCGTCGTCTACATGCGAGCATACAGAAATGAAATAACCCTGAGTGCAGGGCTGCCACTCTCTGAATCTAAATTTCTTCCTCTTCAAAATGATATACTATATGACTAGTAATAATAACTTTCACTGTATATAATTCGTATTTTCCATACTGTCACCAGACGACTGTTGGCCATTTGTTAGAAATTTCGAAAACAGCTGTTTTCATAAAATTGTACCGATTGTGCAATCAATATTTAGTTATAAATATCACTACCACAATGAAGATAAAATCAATGGCTATCCAGTGGTATCACCCGCAACATCCCAAGACGAAAATTACGCGAGCAGGATAATGCCAAACAAGACGTTTTTCGCCAGTTCCCAAGTGTCGGCTGCAAAAGTCGTACCGCGCCAAAATTTCATTTGATTTCTAATCGTCGTGACATTGTTATATACCTGCTACAGGGTTTGTTTATGTAATCAAATGAAAGTTCAGAATGTGATCTTTCGAATGGTAGGCTATATATATTATTCTAATCTGAGTTGATTGTAAGTGTTTTTTTTACCGTTAAAAAAATTTCTGCCCATACCGTAACCAGACGACTTTGGCCATTCTAAGCATCAACGTCATACCGTAACCAGACGACGGTTGGCCACTGCTAGGGTTAATTCAGGAGACGACTTATTGTTTATGATTAGATCGTTTTATTTTCCATAAAATGAGTTAGGTTTAAATAACAATAATTGTTTTCAGCTAAGTTAATCCATAATGATGACAAATCTACTAAAGGAGTAGGCCTACGTTTAATCTATGGTACACATACTGTATGGAGTTCATGTTTTTGGACCTGAAATTGGAATCAATGGCCATGTTTTTTTTACAGGAATGCTCGGAGGGTTGAGTTGTTTTGTTTCAGTCCCACAAACGTGAACATTTACTAAAAGCATAAAATTGCTAAAAGTGTTTAAGACAGCATATTTTTAAGGCTGATCAGGTCAATTCTTCAAATAACTTGCAATGATAAAATTCCGACAAGGGGTGGTACCTATTCAAGCAATTAACTTATAGCCTACCTAGGGGCACGATATAGTTTTAAATAAGGTTTGAAGGAAAGTAACTGACCAGAATAGGAGGCGGAAAATTATTTGGGCCTACAGGCCCCAAAATGCAAAATCCGGCCCTGAATTCTACCACTTCAAGATAGGCCTAGGATAACAGAAAATGGTTCGATTGTGTTTCATGATTGCCTAGAACTAGCATTTCAATCATTAACTTAGATATTTGTGATTTAAGTATACTGTTGCCTATACACTTTAGGATGAAACTTTGGATACCAGTGAATAGGTCACTAAGACTCATGGGTTTTGAAGTGCTGTAGCCTAAACAATGTAGCCTATTAATTGATATTGATGGTAAAGTATGGGTACGTCTAGGCTTACCTTGGGTTAAAATCCTGAAACAATGTTTGAAGATTCATTACTGAATTTATCTTAAATCATTGATAGAGTGATGATCACCAATGATGATATGTAGTTTCTTTCAAAAACTTTCCATAACATGAGTTAGGCCTTGAGTAGTTAGAGAATGAGTAGGCCTATTTGGCATGTGTAGCTTAATTTCCATCTTATACATAAAACGTAACACCTTTCATTATAAAATACGTTCAATATTTTAATTAATATTAGTAGTATGCCTAGTAATAAAAAAAATAACTCAACGAAACGCTCCAGCACCAAGAATTCAGTGAATAGTGACCATAACCTTAAACCTTACACAAAACAACCAGTGAACCTAACACCAACACCAAACCATTTAATTTTTTTTTACTTGCCTCTTCAAAAAAGCCCTGCTGACGAGGGTTCTTTTTCTTCTACTACAGTTGTACCAAAGGCGGCCGTGGTTGTAACTTAAACATGCAGCTGTTCAATCTTAATTTAAAACCAAGCGACCAAGGATTGCGTATTCTTAATCTGTGCTAATGACAACCCGTTTCGCGCAATTGCTAGTTTAATGTTTAATGCCAATAGAAAGAATACTCTCTATAGTATTAACATAGATAAAATATACTCCTCAAGTATCCTATGTTGTCCTAAGTATGTTTTATATTATTCATTCTGATAGCCCCTGGACTACGAATAATGACTTTATAGGCTTACCTTAGTAGTCCAGAATTGTGTCTCATTTCAACTAATGTTGTTCAAAGCTGACATGTTTCGTTGCACAGCAATATCGTCGGAACTTTACGTCAAAAACGTCAAATAATTTAAACAGAAAATACAACACGGGACACGGAACATATTAACACGAAACAATTCACGATAGTGCTATCATGACACTTGTGGTTTCGTGTTTAGATTTAGATGTTTTATATCTGACAACACTCATGTGTATGAAAAAGAGGAAATAAGTACATAAGCCGCAATGGTGAATCGGCCGGTAGATGCTTGGCGCGCGACGTTGCCAATTCTCGCTGGCCACGGCCTTAGTTAAAGGCGGCGTTGGATGATCTCAACTGGGCACAGTGTGGCACAGTTCAGTAGCGGTTGCAATCACACAGCCTCCCCCCCACTGGTTTTAATACTTGTTTTTGTCCATTTATCCTTTCGATATACATCGAAATTAGTGAATCCGAATTCAGCATTTGTTATTTCAGGTACAAGATTAGTTTCAGTAATTACTATAGCATCGTAAACGTATGCTGCAATGGCCTTCCTGAGTGATTGAATTTTTGAGTACTATCAACACACTGCATTTGTGTTTATAAGATGGTAAAGATTAATATGATTTAAAAATATGCCATATAAATATGGGGTATATGGTATATGTAATGCCGAAAATAAATTGATGGATGGAAATCCATGAAAATCATTAATAAAGTATTGAAGAAATAAATTGTCTTTGCAGCAGTTGTCACAGTCTTAACATATAAAAACCTATAAAGCCACAGACTCTTCAATATAAAATCCAAACCATTAATTTTTCCTTTACCCAAAGGTTCGGAAACACGTACTACTCAACCTAAATAAATTATTATTACTATCAATTAATAATTTTAGGAATGCTATAGTGAATCCATATGTTATACCATAGACTAACGTTATACCTTCAAATCTACATCGAGAGCGTTAAAAAATTTTTCAGCATTACCTACTGCGTTCTCACATTAATTTAATCTTTCACAAAAATATCCCAAATATAGTTGAGCATAACGTATTTTAACGTCTTCTACGTTCTATAAAAAAGCTGTGTAAGTGATTTTTTACTATAATGCTTACATAGCTAATGAATATTTTTCCAGTGAATTTTTTCCAAAAACTAATGATGTGATTGTTTAGTTTCTTTTCATTTTATTGTGTTGCGCATGTCTGAGATGTCAGTGCCAAGAAACAATACCTATTTTCGATAAAGTGACGTCACTTTTCTTAATTTGGATGTAGGTAACCCTTTACCACTAAACATCTCTTGAAAGAGGCAAGAGGGAATTAAAAACAAGTTATCGTTAGGGGGAGATGTGAAGGCCATTTCACTTGGATAGTCAACACTAAGTAAGTAGGAAAATGAATTAATTGTGTCTCGATAACTGTAATGTTTACATTTGTGTTGGGGTTTAGGTTATCGTGTAGTCTGCTAGTGCGATATAAATAATAGGATTGATTTTCATTACTCATTAAGAAAATCCGTGTCAGAAGTAGGGGATATTTGCTCTTTTTAAAGTTATTACTTATTTAAACCAATAAGTTAACTTACTGTTGTATTCTAAATAATACAACTCAAGTTTGTCCTTGATAATCAAGGTGAATGTTGACAAGAACACAACTCTGGCAACTGGATAAATTTCCTGAGACTAGGAACTCGACCTGATAAATGGTTCAGGTATTTAGTTTCACAAATTAAGTTTTTATTGCACATGTCAATCAATTGCTTAAATCGATGCTCCCTTGTTTATTGCCATGTGAAAAATAACATTGCTTTTAGCCTTAATCACTAAATTTAATCTTCAGGTTTGATTAATAGTCAAAGTTCCTTTTAAGTTAAATAGGCTAGGCCTAACCAACTTGACTTTGATTGAGCCTTAACAGCTATTTGTCAAATATGCTATTATTTAACTTTTATTTTAAAAATTTAAGTTAAAAATAGGTAGTACAGGTTTGTTCAATCGAGTTCTTGTTTTATAATGCCAAAAATAAGTATGGTAAGCCTAGTCTTAGGCCCAATGTATTTTAACCCTCCGAGCGTCAGTGTCATGCGTCGATTTTTCGACGCACGAACATCGTTTACGGCGAAGGCTCTATGACTAACTGAATCGGATTGAACTGGATCGAGTTAGGTATCGTTCTTTTCGTTATATTCTACGCTTTCTCCAGAGGTCTGTCTCTAAGCGCTTTATGTTCTCTGAGCCGATCGTAATTGTAGCAGACAGATGACGTGCGTATTTGTAAATAGCTAGGTTACCCTCGGACCGATGACTGATGTGTTTTATTACGTTTATCATTGTTTTAGTGTTAAAAATCAAAAGTAGTGATATACGTGGTGCATTATAAGAAGATTTAAGTGATTTTGAAGGGCTGGTAGATGATCCTGAAGAAGTAGGTAGTGATATTGATGTAAATTATCAGCCAGATTCCTAGCTATGGTTAGGCTATGCATTCTTAGCTAAACGCTATGTACTGAAATCTGTTTTTTGCCCATAACTTATTTATTTGCAAATCTACTTCCTTATATTATTATATATTTGTAATCCTCATAAAATTTAGAACAAAGTGGCTATTTTCAAATATTTATAGGCCTATAATTTATACAATTTCATTGAGCGCGAACTTATTTTTTTTTTTTTTTAATTTTCCAAAATATTTCTTTTTTACCTAAAAAAATTTTTTGAAACAAATGTTCCTTATGTTTTATGTATAATATTGAAGCCCATGATTTTCCAAACAAAATGGTATATAGAACAGTAGAATTAACATTGTTTTAAGCTTCTCAGATCCGTTTTAGTAAAACCTTGCAAATGCGCCAAAAATAGGCGGACATTAAGGCCTAAACTATGGACACTCGGAGGGTTAAGTGAGTGTAAGACACTTGGCTTGTTTTGCAATTTTACTGTACTGTAGCCTATGTTTAAGGCGAAATTCATACACCTAAGCAATCTACCAACATCTCCACCTAATGCTGGGTTTTGGCTAAGTTACTCTCTTTTCTCAAGAAGGCTATCACAGACCTCTCAGCACAGTGCCCAGTGCCCATTATGTCGCATAATTTCATTTTCCTTACTTCTCAATAGAGTTGCTCACTTAAGCGTGGTTTTTTCAACAGTCACTTGCTAAAATATAAGCTATGATCAAACATGAGTTCTTATAGGCTACTCCGATCAAGAACAACAAGCCAAATTGCTGTTTTTATGGGTTAAGTTATATTACTTGTAGGCCCTAATCGTCTTTTCAAGGTGTGCTGATTTAAGTCAGGCCTACTAATTTCATATACCTTAGGCCTACCTATTATTTGCAAAAAATAGAAATATTGTTTAAGTAATATTTCAAAGAACTGCTAGACAACAAAGTTCAAAATTTAAGTTAGCAAGTTAGGCAGTTTTAATATTTGCTTAAGCCTAAAATGAAATCCCAAGCAAATATTAAAAAATATTGATACCTAATTGTCACGTTTCTGGATGTATTTTGTTGTGAACTCCCATTTAATTTCTTCCACACAGAAGATACCTAACTGTGTGTGAAACAATATGTAGTTAAAATCCGTCTGACTATTACCCCTCTGTTGCACTCCATGCTCTTCGCACAGAGGGAGTACGCGTAGGAAACCAGTCATACCGTGACTAAATTTTGTAGACCCACAGATAAATTGGTATTCTAAAAGTGGGCTAGTTAGTTACTCGTAAACTTGTAGGCCTAACTTTTCTATACAAATACCCTATTCATAAAATTAATTTTTGTTTCAGGGAATTCAGAGGCATAATGCCAGTTAGTGTGACCCGTTCCTATCACTCAGAGTCCAGATATGGCTCTTCTTACTCTCCCTCAGCATACTCTTCATCCTACCGCTCGCCCCTCTCAACATCTACCTACCGGTAAGTGATATAGACTGATATTTAAGAGCTACAAAATAAATAAGTCTGACAGACTCCAATTTACGAATAAACCTATAATATCCTCATATACTGGTTCATAGGACACTTATTTGAGGGTAAACTGACACTCCTGCCAAGTATGAATTGTGTTCTGTCATTTATCTGTTGTGATAGGCGTCAACCAAAATTTAAGTCCATCACCAGTACATGAACGGAGAAAAGTATTTTTACGTAGATTATAGCCTGTACTTAAGGCATGGAGGGAGTAAGTTAGTCATAACATTTGTACGGTGTTGTTACTTATTGTTTCAAGCCGTTCATGCTGATGCAATCCAAATACTGTTGCTGCAGTCGTTCATAGTGTGTTTAAGAGGCAGTGAACAAAGTTAAGAGAATGTTGCTTTTAGATCGCTGTTTGGTTAAACTAGTGATTTCCGTACTGATATAGGACGGCACTAAGACTACTTAGGGTGGTGGTAAACTATATGGTAGTCTTAAATATGAATATCAGCAAGCACAGTTTCCTTTTTCTTTAGTACGGTACGGTAACTATTTTGATGAAAACTTCTGAACTCTTGCTGCCTCATCGTACTAATGTGTGCAATCCTCTGTAGGCCTAAGCTCCCTAAGGCAGAAAATCAAAATCAAAATTCTTAATTCCACTAAGCAAAACAATGCAATAGGGCACGTCAAATTCTTATTCTAATATAAACAAGAAGTGACAAAAAGGCAGGCCGTCTAAAAGGATTCAAGCAACAAAACACTAAGGCAAAAAAAAAAAAAAAAAAAAAAAAAAAGAGAGAGTAAAAGCAAAACAAAGCAAAGCAGGGTGAAACCCATGCACAAACTGACAATTAGTGACAACTGACAAACTCAAACAAGAAAGCTTTTGCTTCTACTTACTACTTAAAATGACTACTTACAATGTTCTGTGGGATGGTGAAGAAATCTTCGGTAAGTAGAGAAGAGTGGATATGCCAACAGAAGATCCTGGAGATTATTTTTCAATTTTGAAAAAGTGGCCAGGCTGTACAAACAATGTGAATTAAAACAGTGTTAAACTCAGTTGATCAGAGTTACATTGCGTTTTACCAGAGATCTCTTTGCAAGGATTCTTTCTTCTGGAATCTAGGATCACCTAGATATTTCTTAACATTGAAAACGGAAACAAAGACATATTCAAACTGTGTATACATAGGATCTTATGTGACAAGCAGGTCCTAAAATATTCATACTTCACACGTATGTTTTTATGTTCTGACGTCATTACGCCATTCTCAAAGCCTGACTGGGATTGCAGTAGGTACATTTAATCAACTGGTTTTGTTGTATTAGTGTTGGCACATGTCTGGTCCAGTCTTCAGCCACATTCATGCATTTATGGTTGTACGATGTTGCCAGTTGAAGTTTAGAATTCATTGTATTCGCCCTGGAACAGCATTATTGACTAATTGGTTTTACATTTTTTTTTGTCCTAGGAAGCTAGGCACGAGCCTGGGATTGTTTTTCACATTATTTCAGGCTAGACCTAGGGGTTGCGGCATTATCACTTAGATAAAATCCATTGGTGAATTGGCAGGATTTGAACCCGGGACTTCTTGGACCGAAGTCCGGCGCTCTAACCACTAGACGAGCTCGCTCCCTACCTGCTCGCTCCTCACAATTGGTTTTACATTACAACCCTCCTAATTGGTTTTTCATCACCTGTCATCAGTTCCAATCTTTTGGAACCGATGATGGGTAATGTAAAACCAATTAGTTGAAGTTTGCTAGCTGTTTGTCATTAAGTATAACAAATTGTAAAATGACCTTAAGACTCATGAGTAAGTCAACTAGCCAATAAACGTTATTTAAAATAAAATTTAAAAAATGTGCAGTGAATTAAAAGCTAGATTCATATACTGCAAGCTATTTTTTACTTTTTTACTTTGTCTAGGTCAAAATAACACCTAACTATTGCTAGAAACAGCTAGAAACTTGTAAGGTAGCCATAATTCACCTTAGATCGCTCTATACTAGAGCCAAAAAACTGTATAGGCGGAAAGTTGACGAGGCTAAGAAAATTGCTAATGCCCAAAGTATTGACTGCTCTCTAAATCAGTGCAAGGCACTCTGGAACTTGGTAAACAAAAACAGAGATACCAGCTAGCCCCTTACATCAAAGTGTAAAGCTAGTCCGGATGAATTCAATTGTTTTCTTCTAAACAGTGTCTCAAATATTGTAAATAGTTTCGACCAATCCCCCCAGAATACTACTCACCCAACCAGAACGCATGGACCAACTTTGCTTTGCTGGAGGGATATAACTCCTGATGAACTCTAGGCAATTGTCCATAAACTAAAACCCTCAAAAAGTCCAGATATTTACGGAATGAATGCAACTATTCTTAAATCCATAATCAGCAGTATTGCCTTTCCACTTTGCAGAGTCATAAACCTATGCCTGAAAGCTGGAATTTTTCCAAAGAGCAGGAAAGTCTCACGTACTGTGCCTATTTTTAAGAAAGGCGATGCTTCCAGTATGTCCAGTTACCGTCCTATATCCATTATACCTAACTAAAGATATTGAAACTGTTATGAAGCGCCAGGTAGTAGATTATCTTGAACAGAACAACTTGCTTTTAGACCTGCAACATGGTTACTGCAGTTTCAGACCTAACAGAGGTAATACAAGACGCTTTTGAAGCTACTGAGTCTGTGGCCTTGACTCTGTAAGATTTGTCGAAGGCTTTTTATGTTGTATCTCATCAGATCCTTTTAGATAAGCTGAAGGGTTACGGTTGGGGAGACAAGGCCCTCTCGAAACTTGCTTCGCACCTGGACGACTGTCATCAAAATATCTCCCGTGGGGGTGCAATGTCCGAGGCACTCAAAGTTGAGCATGGCGTGCCCCAAGGCTCAGTATTGGGACCGGTTTTATTCCTAGTGGCCATAAACAACCTAGAGTTGGAAGGAAGGGCCTTAAGATTTGCCGATGACACGACTCTCATTACAACCGGAAGAAACCCTAAAGCTAGAAGCCCTAAATTAGGCCCTAAAGCTCTACAATAATCTCCCTGACATAATCAAGCAGCTTGAGGGTAACAAGTTTGCCTCAAATCTTTAAGAGCCTCATGAGAGAAAAGCCCTACTATAGTTTGAAAGAGTTTTTCGAAGTAAACTTCGATAACACTAGACCATTGTCCACGCTATCTGTGGAACACGTATAACTCCACCTTGGAAGTTTTGTAAATAGCCTTTGTAAATATATATAAATTACTTTGGGCGCAGCTTATCCAGTGTTACTGGTCTCAGGCTAAGAAGAAGGAGGAGGAGGGGGAATATTTACATTTGTTGTATCTAAGTTACTTTGTTGTCACTACTTTTTCCATTTTTAGTTAATTTATTCAATTGTGATCCCAATTATTGTAGTACCTTATCAATATCATTTTCAAAATACGAATTTCAATTTTTTTATTGTACTGGGCTTTGGACTGTTTGGAATATCCAAGTGTGTGGATGGTGTAATATATTTTAATTTTAACACAGGAAGTTTTGGAAGACACCAATTTTCCAATTAATAGGATATTTAAGGACACTAAAAAGTGTCCTTAAAAAAAAAGTTTAAAATGTGTTGTTTGTAACAAATGTATGAGAGGATTGTAAAAAATGATATGAAAGCATGTTTTCAATGAAGTTGTCAGATGTGAAGATGAATGACTTAATATCAGTCAGATTCTCTTCAATCACACGACACTTGAAACCCAGACAATTGTTCACTCCAAGTACTCAAGCACATTTCAAGTCCTTAATTGATACTGATACTAAACACCTTCATTTCCCACTTGTTGCTTTGTACTTTGTAATATTTATCCAGTTCAGATAATGTAAGTTGAATATAGATTGTTGTCAGTTGTAAAGCTGCGTTTACACCGGAGTTTGGAACAAAATGTTTGGAACTTTTTGTTGGTAACACTTGTTTCTAAAATAAAAGTTTACAACAGATAGTGCACTTTTCTTTGATTTTGTTGGAAACATCACCATTCCTGAGAACAGGAGGTCAGTGCTCTTCGGTTGGGGGGTAGTGAAGTGGTGGTGGATAAGCACCGTGAGTAGCAGGGAAGTGTTGTGAACAGCGTAGGAGTACAGATACATTTGGTCCAAAAACAAATGTTAAATGTTTCCTAATGTTTGGAACACCCTTTGATCTTTACCGACTTCTGGTGGGAAGTTGTAGTTGTTGTAAACACTAAAAAACTATTTCCAACATCAAAATGTGTTTGTTCAAAAAGTATTGTTTCTTGTTTTTTTAGGAACATTTGTTATAAATAAATAATAAATAAAAAGATCTTTAATAAATAAATAAAAAGGCCTATATTTAATAAATAATTTAAAATGCCTTTATTTACAAGCAAAATAAAGTATATTTGAATCGTAAACTCGTGTTCCTAACTCTGGTGTAAACGCTTTGGTTGTAAAGGACTTTTGACCAATGCAACCAACAACCAACAAAACATGACAGAAACACAGAATAGATGAACATAAAATGCAGTCTTAACATTTTTTATATATTTTTTAGTAATATCAAATCTATACATTAAACATTCTATTCTTAGGTAGTTTTTAAAATGAGCCTTTAATTTTTGTTTTATTAAAAAAATCAAGGACCAGTTAAATATTGTAACATGAATGTCTATAATTTATATATTTTGACCGTAAATGCTGCAGGGTTGGTAAAAAATACAACACCTCCTCGTAAATTTGAATGAACAATGTCAGGTAAACGACACAGAGTTCAGTATACCTTTGTAAGAAATAAAAATTAAATGATAATAACTAAATGATAAAGCTTTTAAATAATATATCTACCTATTGTTGATCAGGCCTACACCTAATAGACTATAAAAGGACATCCAATTTTAATATAAGTACCACTTTTTCTTCTTTTTACTCTCCTCATTTTAAAATACAAGGTGACCCTTTGTGTTAGTTCACTGAAAACATCAGCCTGCCTCCAAAATACCACATTTTTCAGCCTTGGTCAAAGTTACTATTTAATTCAAATTTTTTTTTTAATTTGAAAGGTGAGCTATGTTTAGTTTACTTAATAGTCTGTTCCAATGTTATAAAAGGGGTCCCAGTGTAATGGTAAAAATATTAGGACATCAGAAAACGAGCGTTCATTTGATTTCAAGTGGACCGCGCAGGGTCATTAGTTAGCCGAGCGGCCACGCACTGAGCTAGTGCCGCGACCCCTATAAATACTGCTCAAGACAGCGTACAGTCAGTCAACCACTAGGCGAATAGTCAGCAACATCTCTCCCTTGTAGTAGAGAATCTTAGGCCTGGAGCAGAATAGCCCGGTAATAAGCCAGCAGTGGAGTAACTCTGGTAGCGTCATACACTAGGACCAAGAGCGAAATAGCCCCTGCACTCGTGAAATTATTGATTTAGTTTATTTTAAGCATCTTGGATTACATCCTAAAGTAAAACACAGTATACCCATTAAGTAAAGATTTGTTTTGTTTTCAAAGTTAATAATTTCAGTTCGTTACAACCAGTGTTTCACTTAAAAAATCAACACCAATTATTTTGGAAATTTGCTAATTTGTTTAGATTAAAGTTTAACTCGGGCAGTGATAATTGTGTCATTTACTTAAAGCTGATGCTTAACGACCATATCTGAGCCCAAATATTTAAACTTAATTATTACTACTAACCCTGGACTTTACAGTACAATTTTGTCCGAGGTCGAAATTGCACGTCACACCCGTCTCAGAGTACGGCATAGTGTTTCAGCCAGGGTTGTGGCTCATCTAGAGACATTATTAGCATTTTAGAGTTCCAACAGGGTTCTCACAATGGTTTCAAAGCAACAAGCTTCTTCTAAACTGTAATAAAAATAAAAATGCTCCAATTCAATATCAACAGCTCAAAAAAAACAAGCTCCGCTGACTATTTCGCTTGGCGACAAAGTGATCTCTTCGTGAAACTTGGCACCACTGCCAAGTTTCTTGATTTGGTCTTGGATAGCTTAACTTTTATGGCCATATACTGTAGAGCCCTAAAGCTCAGGAACTTTTGTAATATGAGGTCTTTCAAAGTAAGCTACCAATTCTTGTGTGACCATGAGTGCCCATTATGGACTGATTTATCCATTATTGTCGTATTTAGTCGCAGTCTAGGACTGTGAGAGTGTTAGAACAAAGTTTGTTTTCTGTCTTCAGAATAAAGATATAAGAGGTACATTTAGAATATCTTGTTGCACTTCTTGCAAGCCTCTCTTTAAGGAACACAAAATTCTTACATTTCCATCCATACACAGTCTTTGGTTGTCCGTCTTTTTTAAAGATATTTTCATCTTTTTCAACCGCAATGCCATAAAATGCAGTTACACTCTCAGGCATAGGAACAATATTCAACTACATAAACACAGGACAAAATTCCTTTAAAGATACCTTTTTTATAACTATATTTAAGTTCTTTAACCTGCTGCCTGAATCCTTTAAAGTGGACCTGAACACCGACCAATTTAGGAGAGCGGTGAAACGCCTACTAATAGTAAAGTAGAATATGCCCTATACTATAAAAGATTCTTAAAGTTGCCGATAAAATTAAGACATACTGTTCTGTTGAATTTTAGTGGTTATATTATTTGTTTTGTTTAATTTATACAGGGTGTTTTTAAAAGAATGCCGGGATTTCAAACGGTCGTTGCTCGGGGACTATTCAAGATAATTAAACAATTTAAGCGTCAAATTGAAGGGAAAAGAAAAAAGTTTTTTTCTCATTCTTTCATACAATTTGGAATGATTAAATAAAATTCAGATTTTCATCAATCTTATATGAGCGTAAAACTGGCATAGTCCTTACATTTAGGGCGATCTTAACTGAATCTTTTTCGGCACAAAAACTCTATCTTTTATAGATAGCATCATAAAGTGACCAATTTAGGTTTGTTAAACTGGAGACTTCGTCGGGCAATCGATTCTTTCGGGATTCTGATCTAGAATTGTCGGATTTCTTTGATTATGTCATCGCTTGGTTTAGCTGGCCAGGTGAATGTCTTTACAAAACACTCCGGAGCCACGTAACTCATTAAACCAGCTTCAAGTTTCTTTATCATCAAATAGATTTAAATTTAGTTTAATTTAGAAATAGATACAAACTCTGCGAACTACAGATTACATTCTGAGCCTTCTGTTGCGCCGTACGTCGTACTGGCCACTTGCGTCAGGCGTATGAGTCACAATAGCGGCCTATCACCCCGCACCTGTTTTACGCATGCCAAGGTCAAAGTTTCCTCCCTTGCTACACGGGAAACAAAACTTAGTTACTTTAGCTTCAATTTGACGTATAAAACGTTTAGTTACCTTGAATAGAATCCAAGCAATTACCATTTAAAATCCCGGTATTCTTAAAAACACCCTGTATTCTTAGAAAACATCACGTTATTATACAGATTACTTTGAGTAAAATAAAGATGATTTGATTTGAGTAAGGTAAGGCTTAGCATTGACTGGTTGAGTTGGTTGAATTTTCAAAAATGGAACTAATAGAAACTGATCAGTAATGATGTTTTGATATCTATTTTTTGAAATGGCATTTTACAATTAATGTATGTCTTAGGCTTAACTGGTATAATTTCATTCTCAGGAGCACTTATACTTCATCATACCGGTCAACTTCTGGACTTGATGATTCTTACACCAGCTCTCGAGATAAAAGTGACACCAATGAATCCTATTCCTCTTCACTTGGGTAAGTTTGATTTCTTTTTTATAAATAACAAGTTGTAGAAATATTAATATTTTATATTGTGATTTAGACCAGTGGTTTCCAACCTACGGCTCTATACGGCCGGCCTGTGAAGGCCTACTGGGAAATAATTTATTTTTACGTAATTTATGTAAATCGATGATCGTCAAAGTTGCGGCAACATCCGTTAGTAAATGTTTCAGTCTTGGAGATATCGTGATTGTCATTCACAATCGCGGCAACTTGGCAATATCATGGTCTTCACTAAAAGTCACAGAAACACCCATAAGTAAATGCTGCTGTGATATCAGTAATAATGTTATCGTCATTCATGATCGCGGCAACACTCGTAAGTAAATTTTTCTCAGCATGTCAAAGCCATCTGTAAAACAGTAACAATACGTTTGAAAACTTATCGCAGATTAAGCTCCCCATACAAGAGCATCGTTTACTTCCTTTTTCCGGTCAACAGGGTCAGAAGTTGCTGCAAATTCCTTATCACAGTTGTCACAATAATAAAACAATGTTGCAAATAGCCCATTTAAGCTTTCTCTGTGGTACAGTATTTGCATTTATCCATGGTACAGCAGAATTAGTTTTTACAATACGGCTCTACTACTACTCCTAGGCCCTATGCTTTCTAGCTGCTTCATAACATGTCCTATGTCTACAATGTGTCTCACTTTTAGTGAAATGTGTTGGTCCTCTATAGTGAGTGTGTTAAATTACTAAATTTACTTAGGTTCAACTCCTCTGCCTTACTCTCACTCTCGGCATCACTTTCAGATTCAGGGGAAAAATTAACTGTGTAGTCTTGATCATCTTTTTTATTCGACTCCCTGAAACAGCATAAACTACAATAGTTATCAATTTTAACTAGGCATAATTGCAGTTAGAGTGTTAAGTATACTGTAGATAAAAACATATTGTATGCGGCCATTCCTGATCGGGAACGCTCGGCAATGCCTTTCGTATATCTTCGTTTTTGCTCTAGCGTCGGTCGAAGGTGTTAGCGTGTAGACATGTGTGACATGCTTTTTGTCGTGGTGTAGGTTGGTAGTAAATTTCCTGTCTGGCAAGCTTAAAAATCAACTTTTTATCCTGTTTTCCTCCCTGCAATTGGCAATACTGTACAATGGGACCAAGCAGTGCTGCTATCTGTGGGTGTTTAAGCAAACTACGTTGATTCTCGTCACCGCACGTTATTTGCTATCCATCAGACCGAAATTTGAAAACCAATTACCCGGCAATCGTGATTATTCAACGCTGTGGGCTGCGTCGCACTGGGGCTACGCCTGTCTCCATCAATGGGCTGCAGCGAACTTGTTAGTAAAAAAATTCTTAAATAGCAATATACGTGTTGTTACAATCAACAGGAGAAAAATAAAAATTGATTTTTTTTAGTTCATGTTTATTTCTTTATGCTTTGACACTATTCATTTATATAACATGTATAAAGTGATTTATTTATTTATTAGTTAAAGTGTTACAATTAAATTATTCATGAAGTAAAAGGTATGTAAAGCATCCATGTCAGGTCACTCACTGTTTACTTTTATTAGATTTAACAAGAATTATTTATCGAATTCAAACTAGTGTTGGGGTAGAGCTTTTTAAGAAACCCGCTCCTCTAAGGATTGCAGATGGGTCACTGTCGAGGGCCCAGTATTCGTTTCGGTTGGCAGGAGGAGCTGCGGGAAGACGGTGGATTGGAAACGACTTGTACGTTCCCACTCTTACTACGGATATGATTCTGGGTATGGATGTCATCCGAGACCTCGGATTGGTGACATGTGGGACAGAGGTAGTAAGAATGGGCATGGATGATGACTGTTCTGGCCATGGTGGCCGCATAGACAGTGTCAAAATTGGTGACGAAGACCCCGAAGGCCCTTGCAATGGAGCCAGCCCTTCCCCGTCTGGTTCCTTATGCCAAAAAATTCAGCACCATGTTGGCTGGTAGTGGCTAGTAGAAGAGTTTTTCTTTGTTTTGAGTTTTGAGACCTGTGGTGTAGGATTCACTATTGGGTTAGTGGCCGGAAGTTGTTTTGTTTTAGTTAATGTTAAAGATTTTTTTCATTTGGCCGTTTTCTTTTTTTTCATCCCTATGTAAGTGAGGGGTGTAACGAGTTATTTTTCCTAGGGGAGTAAATATTTGCTATTTGGCCGTGCACCTATTGTTGACATCAACAAGCGGCAGCGGCGAAGCAAGCTAGCGCCCTTTGACCCGGCTTATCAGTTCTGATAAGCCTCCGGTATCCTAGATTTTCAGGATAGCCTAGGACGGGCATTTGAGTTGTGGATCCCGAATAGTAAGCTTGTGTCTGGTGCGTCGTCGGGTACGAGTGACAGTGGTGTCAGAGTACGTTGGTGGTGTGAGAGTGCCAAGTGTTGGTGTTGAGTTGGTTAGAGACCCGCTAGTGGTGAGATTTTATTGACTCTAGTAGATATTATTTTGCGTTGTGACAAGAGTTAATTATATAACCGGTAACTCTGAGGCCCGTGTAGTAGAAGTCATTATAGTTTCATATGAACAGTCATAATTATTAGTAACAGAAGAGTTATTATGTTTTGCGGGGTGGCTGCACTGTGCACTGAGCCCTGAAGTAGGATGATTCGGCACGGCTCCTTCTTCTATGTTCACCAACGATCGTAAGTGGTTCTCTCATAATTGTTGTCCACTTTTCTAGCGTAACGGTTAGGTTACGACATTTTGGCGCAGTCGGTAGTAAACCTTTTTATCATAGTTAGGGTAGTACGCGATAAAATTTGTTTTAGTGCGTTATTAGAGTTGAGATGATTAAAAATGGTGAGTATTAGTGTTGGCAGGATTTCGGAATTTAATCCAAGTGAGGAGGACATTGTGCCCTATTTGTTGCGCCTGAAACATTTCTTCAAAGCGAACAATGTTAAGAAAGAGAAGAGGTGTCGGTTTTAATTACAGTTATTGGTCCCAGGACTTTATCGGTACTTTCCGATTTATTATCACCGGTAGAGGTAGATTCCAAGACCTATGATGAACTTGCAGAGTTGTTGAAATTACATTATGCGCCCAAGAAGTTGGTTGTGGCGGAGCGATATGTATTCTACTCTCGTGTGCAAAAGCCGGGCGAAAGCATAGCAGAGTTTGTGGTTTCAATAAAACATTTGGCTAGTTCGTGTAAATTTAGTACCTTTTTGAAAGGCGCTTTGAGGGACAAGGTGATTTCCGGCATTTCTAATGAAAATATCCGGCAAAAATTGTTGTCGGAGGAATTAGACTTTGATGAAATTTATGCGTTGGCGCTCAGGCTGGAACAGGCCGAATCGCAGTCAAGCCTATTTGGGCAACCTCGTGGGGACATTGCGAAAATCAATGTGAAAAGTCAAAATAGGCCTAAAACTTTCGTGAATAGGAGTAGTGAAAATCAAAATTCTAGAAACTCTTGTTGGAGGTGTAGTTCTGCGGGTCATTGGCCTAGTGCGTGTGCGTTCGCCAGTTACAAGTGTCACGGTTGTCAGAGAGTAGGTCATCTCAAGAAAGTGTGTAAAGCCAAGAAATCTTCTAGTTTCCATGGTAAAAAGTCGACACCTAGGATGGGGGTCCATCAAGTGGAGGAAGAGGTTGGCCTAGGCCTAGAAGTTCCAATGGCAGAGATAGGTTTGTACAACCTTAAATCAGGATCAGACAACGGCTATAAGGTAGGCCTAGTGGCTAATGATGTATATTTAGAAATGATTCTAGATACAGGCAGTGCCTTGACTATATGTCCTTCTGAGATATTTTATGAAAAATTTTCTAACCTCAAACTTAGGCCAGCAAATGTGAAACTTACTACTTATTCAGGTCATGATGTACCTGTTCTGGGACAAGTGAATGTCGATGTTAAATATGATAATCAGCAGGCGAGTTTGCCTTTGACAGTAGTTAGTTTAGAAAGTAAGAGTCAACCGATTCTGTTGGGCCGAAACTGGTTAGGTCAGTTGAGGTTAGATTGGCAAAACGTGTTTTCATGTAAAGCCACTATGGATAATAGTTCTGATGTGGATATTGCTAAATTGAAGAGTAAATTTAGGTCAGTTTTTCAGCCTGGAACGGGCAAAATTAAGGGTGTTAAGGCTCATATTGTTTTGAAGGACTGTTGGTTTTGTATTTTACAGACTGATCATCAGCCGTTGACGGCTATTTTTGGCTCTAAAAAGGGCGTTCCTAGTATGGCGGCAGCTAGGCTGCAGAGATGGGCCTTGATTCTATCAGCATATGATTTGGAGGTTAGGTACCGGAAGGGAGTGGATGTCCCTCATGCTGATGCGTTGTCTAGGCTACCCTTAGCAGAAGCGGAACCTATAGAGCTAGATGCTAATTTTGTTTCACATGTAGATATGTCTACAGAAGTGATGAACAATTTCTGTGTTGTCAAGGACGTTGCACTTATTACTGCCTTGCATATAGGTAAAATGATGGATAAGGATCCAATTCTTTCGAAGGTCCGAGATTTTGTGATGTACGGCTGGACGAGCTCTGTTGAGCCGGAACTAGCTATTTTTCTAAGGAAGAAGGACGAGTTGTCCGTGGAACAAGGTTGTTTGCTGTGGGGTTCTCGTGTAGTGATTCCAAAGAAACTGTATTCATCTGTGCTTCAAATGTTGCATGATCAACACCCGGGAGTTACACGCATGAAGATGCTGGCGAGAAGTTATGTCTGGTGGCCAGGCATGGAGAAGTCGATTGAAGACGTGGTGGCCTCTTGTTCTGCTTGTCAGTTAACTAGGAATTCGATACCTAAAGTACCGTTGCAGCAATGGCCTACAACATCAACCCGATGGCAGAGGATACACATTGACTTTGCGGAGGATCCAGAGTCGAGACAGCAACTTTTAGTTTTGAATGACACATTCTCTAAATGGTTAGAGGTATTTATCATGAGTTCCATGAATTCTTCCAAGGTTATTGAGAAACTCCGTACCTTGTTTTCATCGTATGGATTGCCTGTCGAACTGGTGTCGGACAACGGAAGATCTTT